TTACCCATCTGTCTGACCGACTGTCTCTGTTGTTACCCGTCTGTCTGTCTGACCGACTGTCTCTGTTGTTACCCTTTTGTCTGACCGTCTGTCTCTGTTGTTACCCTTTTGTCTGACCGACTGTCTCTGTTGTTACCCATCTGTCTGACCGTCTGTCTCTGTTGTAACCCGTCTGTCTGACCGACTGTCTCTGTTTTTACCCGTCTGTCTGACCGACTGTCTCTGTTGTAACCCGTCTGTCTGACCGACTGTCTCTGTTTTTACCCGTCTGTCTGACCGACTGTCTCCTGTGTTTGTCTCACAGCAACAGAAGCTGACTCTGGTCAGAAATAATTCAGCTCTACAGAATGTCGCCCTGCGGACCAAAAGTAAGTCCCCCTTTTTCTGTCCTTGTCTCCGTCTGTCTCTCCACCTCTGGACGTCCCACACCGTTGTCCTTTCTTCTCATCCTCAGCTCCAATGATGAAGGAACGTCCAAGCTCAGCCATTTATCCCTCAGACACGCTGCGCCAGTCCCTGCTAGGATCCAGGCGGGTTCGGTCCGGCCTTACTCTTGCCAAAAGTGTTTCCACCAATAACATCGCAGGGTGAGTAACAAACAGGAAGTGATTGGCTACAGATCAAACAGGGAGGCTTGACAAAGCAAACTTAGGGACCTTAAGGAACATCCACAGCTCTAGTTTCTGGGATTCTAATCAAACACTGAGAGAGAGGCAGAATCCAGCCGACAGCTGGTAACAATTAATACGTCCACAACTGTTAGCGGCTAACATGGCCGCCCACTAACAGCTTCCACCTTCTGCAGCGCAGACCTCTTGCCAGAGTGGAATATTAAATGCTAGAATTTCAGTCTAAAACCGAGTTTCATAAGCTGAAAAATCCAAGTGGTGTCTGTTCCTGGAGTCTGACGCCTTTAATGTGTGCGAGGATGTTTGGACTCCAGCAGTGAACGTCTGCAGCTCCTCCATTGTTCAGTTTCCTGCCTGGTCGCATTCAAGTGTTTGAATTTTACGGGTGAATGTTGTTTACCCCACATCACCAGTTCCATTCCTCCTAATTCACAATAAATACTGATAAATATTTACTATAAATATTAAATACTCTCGAATGTTGTCATTCTCATAAATCCTTTTAGACAAATATATGAGCTCATAATGTCGCTGACTACAGTAGCCATGGCAACAATCATGTCTTGTGTCATAATTATGTACCATTATGTACCAAAACATGTTAATAGATCATAGAAACTTTATTTTAGTCTGAGTGTCGAGCTAAAATATAATAAACCCACCAAACCACACAGGATATAAAACAACAGATCGACATAAATACATATTCAGTTTTACGGTTTATTTCTATAGCAGCAATTCACATCATGTCATCTTAAGGTACTTTCCAGTTCACCAGATCATCCTGTCAGATTGATTCAAAGTTTTCTTTCTAAGAAAAACCAGATGATTGCATCGACTCATGCTGGTAGCGACAGTGGAGAGAAAAGACTCTCTTTTCACAGGAAGAAACTCCCAGCAGAACCAGGCTCAGTGTGCAACATCTCTGCAAACATCAAAGGCGATTACAGAAAAATTTAAAAGAGAGAGAGACTGCAGCCCACAGCTGAAAATGGCATCATGTAGAGCTCAGCTGTCCGTTCGCTCAGGTCTTCTTGAATTTATTTTCAGATTCATGTAAAGGGCAGATAAAGTTATTCTTGAGGTTCTTAAGTCCAGCCTGCAGGCGCTGACTCCTGCTGTCAAACATCTCACCTCCACTCCCCATCGCAGTCTCTATGGATCTACTCACTATAGATCACTGCAAGCAACCTCCAGACTAATGCTACGTTCAGACCGCACGCCATTTCAGCGGCAAAAACGCTTCTGCTGCTTCGTTTTTGATGCTTGTCCACATTAAGGTCAGACGTCCAGTTAAATGTGTCCTGATGCTTCTGCTGCTCCTGTGTTTGATGGCAGAGAACGGCTTTGCTATATTTGCTGTGATCAGCGGGTAAAAAGTGGTTTTAATGTGTTTTTAATATATAAAGTGACTGAGAATCTTCACCAGCATTTATCTTGAATATTAAGAGCATTTCTTTTATTTCATATATGATGCTTGAAAGAGCTGCCCTCCTAACCTGCTTCAGTAACCTCCCAGGTAAGAGAGGCTCTAGCAAATGGAGGGTGTTCTGCTGTGATACCGTCTAACCGCCCACATCTTATCGGCCCCCATGTGTATAGCTTGATACGCCTCATGCGCCACAATATAATGGAGCTATCGTGTTCAACAATGTCTCCATTATGCACGTAACCTTTTGTTAGATACTGGCTGACCCTGAAACTGTCTCTACAGTTCAGCGATGGGGCGACTGGCTCTTCTGCTATTTTACTTCCTTCCAGCAATGATTCAGATTATTACTTAACAACCTCTGATCCAATGAATCAGACCTCACCATATCATTTTTCTTCTTCAGAAAGTGAATAGCATATTTATAATGACCCTCTTATGTCCAAACAAAAATACCTTACCCTGGTCTACCTGCTGTAGACCACTCCTGTGTGACGTCACAGGATAATCAGCAATATAGTTCCCTAAACTATGGAAGCGAATCGTTACCATATTTTAAATGAAAAAGCATTTCCAGAAATGCTTTTTCATTTTAAGAATGTGGCTGCATTTTTTGACTCATAAATGAAATTAGTAATTAATAATCCTATTTGCACTACTGCTCATCCTTTTACTTAATTAAAATGAAAAAGAAAAAGACATTTGAGATTTATTTTTCAAAATGTACCCCAGCAAATACATACCAAAATTCGATTTGAAATGTAAAATTTGAAAATTTACGAATGTGGCTGCATTATTCGTCTCATTAATAAAATTAGTAATCAATCATCCTATCTGCATTTGCATTTACTTCGTCTAGACTGCTCATCCTTTTACTTAATTAAAATGAAAAAGAAAAAGACATTTGAGATTTATTTTTTCAAAAAAAATCAATAATAAGCAAATACATACCAAAATTCAATTTGAAATGTAAAATTTGAAAATGGAAAAGCATTTCCAGAAATGCTTGAAAACGAGAAAGCAATGTCCGCTGTGTTTTCTCGTTGATTATGGCATAAAATGTGCAGTCTTAAAGAAGAAAATGCAAGTAGGATTATTGATTACTAATTTCATTTATGAGTCAAGTAATGCAGCCACATTCTTAAAATAAAAAAATTTCTGGAAATGCTTTTTCATTTTCAAATTTTACATTTCAAATTGAATTTTGAAATGTAAAATTTTTTTAGAATCAGGAAATAAGTTTTGATTAAGTGCTCGATCTTTGATCCAAAAGTCATATTTTGAATCTGCGTTCTCTTTACCATCTAAGTAAGGCGACTGACTTCCAGTTGGTAGAACTTTAAATTAAGGAAAGTAGAGAGCCTGAAAAAGTCCAAAGAGACAAAATAATCAGTTGATGTTATATAATGATGTTTTATGTTTAACTAAATACCGATATGGCGACGCTTCTTGCCTATTTTAAATGTAAAGGGAAAAAAATGTAGCTGCAGGAACTGATTGGGTGAACGGATCTTTTTAGTGAACTGATTCCAGTGATTCACTGCACTAAAAAAAGAACTGCTGTTCCACCACCAACTCTTTCCCCCTACTCATCTCTAGTGAGATCGGCACACGTGATAGCTCCGCCCCTCTGCCATTCACAGCGCCTAGTGGACTTTCATCTGTTTGTGTCTCTGCTTCACAGGGGGACGGAGGAAGTTGTGGGTCTCCGTAGGATTCTGTCTCAGTCCACAGAGTCTCTGAACTTCCGCAACAGAACTTTATCCATGGAGTCTCTCACAGATGAAGGTGCATTTATCAGCGGCTTACTGGACAGCCTTCGGTTACCGAGGCGACTCCTGCCAGGAGCAGGGGGCGCTGTGTGCTGCTATCAGCTGACTGTGTTCTTGATGCTGCAGCGGATTGGTGGTGGAACCCCCTGCTGGAGGAGCTGCAGAAGGAGGGCTGCTGCATTTCGGCCGACAGCTGGAGTCTGGCGGTGGACTCTAAGTTCTTGCAGACGCTTCATAAAGACACCATCAAGCAGCAGGATGTCATTTACGGTACGGGTTTGCAGGTCTCCACCCATCTTCCTTTGTCTCAACCTGCCTTCGTTTGTCTCCATCTGTCTCTAACCGTCTACCTTTGTCTCCACCTCTCTCTGCTTCAGAGCTCATCCAGACCGAGTTCCATCATGTCCGGACGTTGAGGATCATGGAGGGAGTTTACCGCAGAGGGATGCAGGAGGAAGTGATGCTGGAAGCGGGCGTGGTCCACACCATCTTTCCCTGTCTGGACCAGCTGCTGGAGTTCCACTCCAGCTTCCTGTCACAGCTGCTGGACCGGAGGAAGGAGGGGCTGATGGAGGGAAGCTCCAACAACTTCACCGTCCGCCGGCTGGGAGACCTGCTGCTGAGACAGGTACGGCCGATGTTCAGCTGAGCAGAAGCCAGGTGTGCCGGAGTCTTTAAAGTGTGATTGAGACCAAGAGCAGAGAGTAGGGATGGAACGGTTTATGAAAACCGTCCGAACCGTTCA